ACAAAGAACATGTCTAACATAATCTAGAAGATTATAGAGAACAGACAAAGCTTAAACGTCACAGGGGCCAAAAATGAAACAGGCAGACAATGAATGGTAATATCCCTCATGTCACATATCAACAAAAAAGCCATAATAACTTCAAGAAGACTAATACTAGAATGACAAGAAAAGCAAGAAAACAAATCAAGAAGCATCCAAAGAGATGAGTCAATATGAAGCGCTTCATCAAAAGATACCTGATTTCCTAAGGGTAAAATCCTAACATAGTATAGGTACTAGTTCTTTTTCTATCAAATATGGCTCATTGAGCAGATGGCGGGCTAAAAGCTTTATTCATAACATTCTCCGGAATTGGCCCTGATAGACAAACTTCTCAGAAAAGCTAAGCATATGGACTCATTTGAAGTTATAGTCCTTTCTATACTTCTTTTAATTAGCCTTAGAGGTATGTACAATTCCATCATCATGTTAAACATTTATAGCCTTATTGTAGCATGCATTAAAGTGTTCCAGATCACTGTAAAACAAGCAGAGAAATGCCAGATCCAGAATCGATATACTGAATCAAAATAGAGTTAAAGAAATCTAAAATGATCAATAAACACATCCATAGCAATTCAGAACAAAAAAGGAAATATTCCAAATATAATAATAATACACCTCCGTCCATTGTTTGCCTTAATTATTACTTTTTGATGTCTCAATATGTTTTTTAGGTTTTAAATTATTATTTAACAATTATTTTCTTATAATAACATTTATGATTTTCATTAAATGAAGGAATTATTAATTAATATCTTAACGTTCCGGAAAAAAACAAAATATTTTTTTTTCTTGACCTAAATTTTAATATGTATGTCTGTCAAACATGAAACAAAATTGGGACAGGAGGAATATTCAAAAGTATCGACATTTTAAGAAACTTGCACAAAGCTTTAGACAATAACCAAAACTATTTAGGTAATGTTTTAAGAGTATGAATGATGATGATAGAGGTATATCACAGGTACTGACAGTATACTTAATGATACAATTACAAACTACAGAGGAAACTAAAAATTTTGTAATAAGAAAAAACAATGAATGAATAGTAGTTTCACTCATATAGTCAGGCATTGTTGATAATTTTTAAAATATGTTATATAATGCGTTCAATCAAATTAAAGAAGAAGACCAAAATGACAAATGGCTAGATATGATGAATTAGATGGCTACAAATACTTGTTTGCATATTAATGAGAATGAAACCAACAATATAAGGCAGCAAATAGTTTCATATGTACTTTATGGTTACAGCTAAGCAGCAAGCATTGGATTATGTTGAATAATGTCTAAGTGCCTGCACAAAATTTTGGGAAATTTTGGCATTTAAAGTGAATTGCCACAGAAAATAGGTGATCCTAGAGAAGGATTTCAGCTCACTAGACTAAACATAAATATTATTTAATTTATGATAAGGAGTAAATAGCAGGCAAAGAAACATATTGATTGAAATAATAGATGGAGGAAGAGACATTCGAGAAGACAGAAGAAGTGGAACAAGACATCAAAGGTATAACTCTAAAAATAAACGAGCAAATGACAATATGATGCAATCTCATGAAACATGGGGTTTTATTTTGAAAATGGTTGTGGTGGTGGTCCTTTTGGCACTCTTGTTGTCTGTATCAATATACAGAATGAATTAATAGATTATCATATATTGTAACTTAAGCTTTATAACTTGTTTAATGTGATTCATTATAAGAACTGCAACAATAGAAATCTAAATACAAATGTCTACATAATTTTAAGTGCATATTCATGTCCCTTGACCACACACTTGCACTAAGGCTCACTACCCCCCTGGACCTTAATGTCGTACTGGACACTATTATTTGGCTTCTGGTTTATGTCCTTTGAGAATCATAGAGCATGATTTAATTTCAGAGATAGAGTCCAAGCTGAATAAAAAGAGCGAGTCGAGCATTACTCAAACTTCTGTAAAGAGAAGGCATCCCAATGCTCAGTGAAATACAAACTGATTTCTTTGTCTAATCAGGGCAGGGAGCAAATTGGCAGAAAAACAGATATACCAAACACCTAGAAAACTAACGCAGTGTAATATTAGAATAAGGTTTTAGCAATCCTTTTAACTGCCTTTTGCGTCCAGTTGAAGAAGCAAAAGGTTTGTGAATATCATGATCTATCTGGGAAATGTTGAATAAAATCTAATGAAAATCAATGCAGGCATGAAAACTCTACCTGAACAAGGTTCTATAAGAAGAAATTCTCCAAAATCTTAAGCTGCTGTTATAAATTCAATGTTAGCTAAGAAAGTAAAAGACAAATGTAAAGATGCTTCACTGTGGCAGACTTCTAGGCTCATTCCACCAAAAAAACTAATAAAATGATTCATTTTTGTTTGGAATGGATGTTGTTGAGCTCATCAATGCACTTATATACAAGTTAACTCCAAAATGCATAATTCTTCTTTCAATACTAACAATTCAAATTTCTTAAAATTGTCCTCCAATGTTATGACAGCTTGAACTTAATTTCAAAAAAAGAAACTCAGCAGCAAGAATTTGTGCCTCATTTTCTAGAACATCAAGAATTGATAATACATTCTTTTCTTCTGCTTCTCCTTAATAATTGGGAAGAATAATGTCAGCTGCTAAAATGAAAGTGGCAAATTACAAGCCATTGAACTCGCTGCAGCATAATGCTTGAGCCAGTAAACCCATAAAATGACACCTACTTAGAAAGTGATGAAATACGATGACTAAATTTCTTTCATTAATAAATTGACAAGCGGGGTAGTATGTTTGTTAAATGAAAAACAGTCTCTCGTGCAGAATTACCTCAAAATAAATCATTACCGAAAGAAACAAAATGAATCGCAAAAGATCCATCAGAAATCTCTGAAGTCCACAGTTCTCAAAAATTCAAAATTCAAATCCTAAATTAATCAAACAAAGGCGATTGACATAGTGAATAGAAATGAATGCATCTGACATAACATATAACAGAGAGACAGAAAGAAGGAACCTGGATATAGAGGAAGGTAGAAGATGATTAATGATGGAAGGATCGGGATGAAGTCGTTGAGAAGGAGACTGGAGAGAGGGAGAGAGAGAGAGAGAGAGAGAGTAGAGAGATAGTGTTATGTTCGAGGCCAAACTGAATCGGATTAGAATTAGGGTTTTGAGAAGAAGAAATATAAATAATAAATAAAACAAAAGAGGAAAAAAAGGGGAGATTTGTCAAAACCGAGAACTATTTAATAACGCTGCCTGAATTCGAATATCACCTGCTCGTCTCTCCGTGTATTTACCTTGTTAAAAACAGTAAGTCCACTGTTCATAGTTTTTTGGTCTATTTTTCTTTTTATCTATTTTTCTTTTTCTGCTGATCTAAAGATCGTTCTATAAGTATTAATATTAAATTTACATAATTATACCCTCATTATATTAACTTCTTTTATTAAAAAAATATTGTAGTCAAGATTTCTATAATTGTCATTTAATTAACAATAAATATAATTTAAAAAAAAATGATATAAATAAAATTAACTATAACATTTAAATTTTTCAAATAAATGTCTACTTAGTCAATAAGTGATTATTCAAAAAATATTTAATATGAATCATTTAATTTCTTATGAAGTACTAATATAGCGGTATATAGAAAAAAAAATTAACACAAAATTTTAATATAGTCCATATTAACTAAATTTTCTTAAATAATTGCAAGTCAAACCCAAGACATAAATTATGAGACACACAAGAGGTAACCTAATGATAAGGTGTATAAACGTCTGATAATATATTTCATATTGGAATCTCACTTATTATTATTAAATATATAATATATATAATAATTATGGGATGGATGAGATAATTTTTTTTATAACTTATTCATGTGCGATATTACCTATTCTATATTTATTTTTTATATATTAATAATATAGTATATAAATTGGAATGCCATTTATTTTCACTGAAATAAAAAAGGTAAGTAGTGCAAAAATAATTTGAATAACTATTAAATTTTATTAATTAATTTATAATTTTAGAATATATATTTTTTAACATAGGTCCAAATCTATTCTAAAATTGATTCAAACATACTTCCGGAGCCTTAAATAATATCTTGCATTAACAAATCCTTGATCAAATGCCCTGGTTACGGACATGCTTTCCATCCAAACTTTCATGAGCCTTTTCAAAGTTAACATGCTTTTAAAATTGCATTAGTACACAGATTTAGCATCTGTTTTCTTTGTTTCATTACAAAGAACTTTGAAAACTATCTCTAAATGGCAAAATGGTAACTTACAGCAATCAAATGATGTTTCTTTTAAAATAAAATTATACAACAGAATAATATAATGTTTCCTTGCAAGACTAATTACTCTTAGACAGCGAAAAATTCAGATGTTTGCGTCTCATGCAGCAGTTTGAAGCAGGTTTCCTTATACCACTGGTTTGGTTTCACCGAGTCAGAAGTCTGCCTCTGCAATTAAGAAAATTTTCAAATGAGCTATTTGGACGAGGTGTAAAATACAAGTAAAGGAGGAAGAAAGAAAATGAATGTTTATTAATTTCATTTTTTATGAATCATTTCATTTTACATAGTGATCCTAACCTTGGAGAAAAGTTTTAGATAGGATCTCTATCAGGCAATAGTAGCTCATTACCTAAAGCTAATTCATTGTTATGTATATTATTTAAAGGTCCGTTTGATATAAATGATTCTGCAATGTTTTGGAATTATTTGGAATTTTCAATGCTTTCATGTTTCGTCTGAATGATAATGTTTCATTTCGTGTCCTAAAAACTGATATTATAGAAATAAATACATTAAATTCTATCATTCGTAAAATGATAGAATTCAACAGGCTGTATATAATGTAATTATTGGATTTGCTTAAGGGTTCAGAAATCATAAGAGATGGAGCTGATAATGAAAAATTAGGTCGGTCATCTACCTGAGAATGAAACATCCTGTAGTCTTCATAATATATATATAATTGTTGGAGGATCTGGGAACCAATCCGACAATGGTACTTCCACTGGTATCAAATAAATTTGAAAATGGTGAATTTTCATGTAAGTTCAGTCTGTCCTATAGAACGTTCAGAATTGATTGACAATAATTCTTCCAATTGTACAGGACCTGACCATTTTGAATTGGTTTCTATTTAAGCTTTAAAGTATATTACAAACAGAACACATGTTCATGCAATAAACAAAATGACGTAAAAAACACAGAGAAATAACATTAATTCTTTGTATATAGTCAAAGTAGGTAATAAATATGAGATTTAAGGCCACTTAAATTCAGAAGCAGCACTTTACAAGAAGGGAACGAAGATTGATCTGATGCAAAATTATAAGAACTTTCCAAGCCAATATTCAACTTATTTTCCCTTAGAAATACTCATCTCATTCTAGACTTTGACCACAATTGGTAACTTTCTAAGGATTGAGAATACACTAAGTACATATTATTTATAATTTTAGTTGATAAGGATATTCATTCAAAGGTTTAAATTTAGGATTTTTTTGTGATGAAATTTTAATAATTTTTATTTATTTTAATATATTTTAAACTTTTAAATATATTATTATAATAATTGTTTAAGCAAATTTACATCTTTCATTGTACTTGTTTCAAGTAAATTTATCCATGCTTCATTAGTGACACAACACAACGGAGGGGGCAGGAGGATTGCCTCACCCCCCACTTATATGCAAACCCATTTGCCCAATTTGGGATTGCTCCCCGCATCATACTCCCAGCTCCAGGACTTGTGGTCCTCACAAACAGCCAACCCATAAGGCTGGGTCCCGCCATTGGGGGCATCCATCTCCCAAATCAATAAGTGCAGAAGTATCACATTAGAGGGTGGTCTGAATGCTACTTGATCAGTAAGGTAGATCACTTGGGCAAGAAACCGGATTGGCAAGAGGGTTCCCATCTAACATAAGTTCAGAAGGGATCTCGTCTATTATCCAGTGTAGAATTCGCATCAATTAGGGTTCTAAACTTCTAGGATTGCGCATTTTAATTGCAATATAGTTGGCCACTGCGTATGAAGTGTAGGCAATTTTCTATGTGCAGTGAAAAGGTTCCAATGATTTCAATCAGTAGACAAATAGATCTAAGATTTGGAGTTTTCTCTAGGTAAAACATATATGGCTTCAAATCCTTGTTTACAAGTTACTAACCAATATCATCAACTAAACTAGATTACTACTATTGGTCCTTTTTGCCAGTTGTTGCTAATAAGAGATGCCAATTTTATGGTCTGAAATACACTTGTAGAAATCAAGATATGGTCATGTAGTATCTTTGTTTGAGCCATGAGCTTTATAAACTTGTTTCATATTCAGCTTTTCAACAAAAATAGAACAGCTTTCAGGGTTGATTTGTCATTTATTGAGATTAACAAAGTTCATCACTCAACATGGTGATAATATAAATAATGACATTTTATAAATCATACATTTTTTTTTTTTTGTTCTTTTAGATGGATGTACGATAATATCTTGGAGTTACACTTTTTAACATTTTAATTCTGCTTCTTTTTTTTTTTTTTTTTTTTTTTTTTTCACTCGACAGACAGTTGTTTTCTTATAACTGGACTCTTAAGTTAATGGACCAGATAATTATGAAAGTGACAGACAAGATTTGAGGAAATTTGATATCATGCTTCAAAACAAAGGCATGCAAATAACTTGAAAACTGAAAAGATAATCATGGACAAGAGGACATGCATGAATGCCTATATGAACTAAGGGAAACATAACAGCAGGTTAAATTCAAGATAGTGTTACTCATTAATGCCACAAATAGATAAAAGCTGCTGAACTATTTACCTCCCAGACATAAAAACTGCATCATATTGTCCACGGCTTGCTGCCATTATACGTTGTTTTAATCTTTTGAGAGATGGGAGAACTTCAAAAGCAGGAGGTTCTGCAAAGAAAACAGATAAGACTTACATAGAAGCTTATTTCACCCAGAAAATAAGGAAAGAAAATTTCGAATTGGAATAATAAGAAGGCACTGTGGCTATCTGGAACTGCCATATATCTATTAAGATTTGAGACTGATTCCAACTGGTTCTAGAATAAAGTAAATTGTAGCTTTTTATATTGAATCAACTACAATCAGGTTGTGTACTATCCAAGTGATGGGAGTTGCAAAATTAGCCAAACCAGAAGGTTCTTTTTATATATATAATTTTTGTTTCTAGAGAGTAATGTCTGCTTTTATTATTCCCATTTAGTTCATATTATCTGCCAGACCTGAGTGCTTATCTACTCACTCACCTATTTATTTTATGTTCTTAACTAGTCAAAATGAGCAACATGATTTTCCATGCCCCCAAAACACCAATGGGGTTGGTCTAGCTCAGGTTATTTAATTTGAATAATGCCAAAGGATCAAAGAAAAAATGGGGAAGAAGAAAACAAGCAAAGGTAAAAGGAGAAAAAGCAAGAGAAAGAAAGATCATGTATTTCTACATATAATTACCCAAATCATTGATGCAAACATCTTGAGATATTCCACTATTTGAGATCTTCTCAAGCAATGTTAAAGGATCAACCTGACTGGTTTGATCCAATCGAAAGCGCTGAGAAATCAGAAGTTTCATTAACATATTGTTGATACTAAAGCAGTGAAATTATTATTATATGCAGCATATAAAAAATGCATTACCTTGTAAACTTCACCAGTTGGACAAGCCTCCTGGGGCTTTATGAGAACCATTGGAATGTCTAGAGGAACAGGTGAAGGAATATCTTGAACAATCTAAACAAAAGAAAGTAAAAAAAAAAACTAAGTTTCCAACCAAATAGAAGCTGTGCATGTCTATAAGTTGCTTTTGATGCAGGATCAATAATGTCAATAACTATACTTAAGTTTTAAGTGATTCAATTGCTTTTTCAAAAATACTGTACTTTTCCTCAGTGTCTACAACATTGACAAGGATTTGAAGCTTTTATCAACATAAAATCCTGAGTTAGAAGTGATTATCTCAAGGAAATATTTTAGATCTACTAACCCAAATATTGCGCTTGACTACTTGTGCATGCTTGATATTCAGTTCAATTCATCTAATCCCTTTTATCCCAAAATGGGTACGACTGACAGCGTGATCCTTTTAGTCCATTCCGTTTAGGATCACATTACCTTTGAGATGTTGCCAAGCTAGTGTCAAAATACAAATGCATACTATAACAGTATGACTTTCAAGGCAGTGACACCAAACAGATAATGCAACTGGGTTTGAACACCAAATTAAACCATCCTGCAAACTCCAGAGAGAATATATATGTGAATCTAAAGGACTAGGTTTTCATTGTATTTATTGTGAAAGCATTGTAAAGAAGGAAATAGCTATCTAAAAAGACTAAGCCACATGTCACTAGATAGTAGATTCAAAGGATACCATTTGCAATCTTATAGCATGATTGATAAGTGGAATAAAGTGGGTAAGGATATCATAAAGCTGCATTTTAAAATTTAAAAAAAAAAAAAAAGACATACTTCACCACGACCAGTACAATAGGCTGCTCCATGAGAAAAAAAGAAGGAGATGTCTGAACCAATCTCGCTTGACCATTCTAGGAGATCATTCTCAGTAGCAATGCCACCACTGAACTGATTTGCAGCCCATAGGGCAGTTGCAGCATTACTGCTTCCACCACCAAGCCCTGCCCCAGTAGGCACCTTCTTATCTAGATGAATCTGTTAAATTTCAAAAGTAGAACATTTCGCATAAATTTTTCAATCTTCAATCATCATATTCACATCATGTAACAGATTATCGAATAATCTCATCAAACTGAAGCAAACTGTGGTGCTTCTGCCCCTTACCCAAAAGAAGTTGTCAGTACCAGTTTTTTTTCTGTAAAGGTTAAGAGCTTTAATAACCTGCAAAAAGAAGTGACGGAAGAACATAAAGTCCACAAGGATGATTTAAACAATAGGAAAAGTCAAACGAGACACAATATAGTTACTTTATGCCTTACCAAATTCCTTTCATCAAGAGGTACCCCAGACACATTGGTTGATAAACGGTCCTTCGATTTTGAAGGAGATAAAGAAAACTTAATTGTATCTCCTAGACTAATTACCTGGAGAAACAAAAGGGGGCAAGTTGTGAACTTTTTGTGGGTAAAACAAGAACTAGAACTAAAAGTCAAACAAAAGACAAAAAGAAAAAAACACATCTTTTTCTTTTTTGTTTCCATTTGATTCCTTATATTTGTATTCACAGTTTAAATTTTGGATGACTTACATGAAAGAGAGATGCCAAATCGTGATACCCATCTTCTCTTTTACTGGTTATTCTGAGGAAAACATTAATCTGCACAAATAAACTATCCAAGTTTCACAGAACTAGGCAACAAATTAAACCATAAAAATAAATAATTCAAGTAGAAACCAGGCAAGAGAATAACAAATGATTAACCTTGCACGGTGAGAACAAAGTGAGCCTTGAAAGAGGAGCATTCTTGTCTACATCATCAGCCAACTTGTTTAACCTTTCATCAGGATCATACACTATCTAATAGTTCAAGAAAACAAAGCCCAACAAAATTATGACTTAAATTCAACGAACAAACAAATAAGAAAGAGATCGATTAATGGATTGGAAGTAAAACAACCTCTAGCTGTTTCTTCGTGGCTTTGACCAGTGGGACTCTTTGTCTTTGATTAAAATAGACAGACCCACTTGGCCGAGTTGAAGGGAGATTGCTTTTAGAGAAGGAATGGCGAGAAGGATTAAAGATATGGTTGTTGCAAAGCAAATGAGCGGTGGCCATGGCTGCTGCTGGCGGTTGTGTTCTTGCCTACTCTGCAGTTGCAATCGAAAACACATGAGATTAATTGCTTTGAACTATTATATTAGACTACCAATGGCTGCTTAATAAATTATCTATTTTACAGTCAATTTTGATCAGCTGGACTGGAACCAAATCTTCATCACCTGATTTTACTACTTCCTTGTCTTCTTCTGCGTTGGTTGGTAAATGGAGAAGCAAATGTTGGGTTTCTTGTAAAGGATTCAGGCCTCTGAATATTGATGGCCCAAGTATTTGTCCCATGGAACTCTAATGAGTCTAAATAAGTCAGCTAGTAATAATTTAGGTCCATCTATATATATATATATATATAATCATGAAATTAAAAGATGTAAGTTGAGACTCTATTCTTTCATAATTATGTTTTATCTTTTTTAAAAAATTTTTGGATTTTTTTCTTTATTTTGATTGGATGGTTATATTTTTTTAATTTGAAATTAATATTTGGATAATATCAATAGATTTTGAAATTTAATCTAATTTAACAACTATTTTATTTTATTTTTTTATCTATTTTTCATATTTTAAAATTTTAAAATTTTAAAAATTTTTCATATTTTCTTTTACCTTTTTTTCATTTATTTTTTTTATTATTCTTTTAAAATCGTTGCATTTATTGGTAATCTCTTCATTTTTTAAAAACTGTAGCGGCTATATTGAAGCTTCCATTTGCAAATTTCGATATCAATTGTGTTTTGATGCTTTACTTACTCCTTCCAATTTCGATTGCGCTTTCAATTTAAGTTATCTTTGATTTCCAATGTATTTTGATATTTTGAATTTTATAGTAAAAAAAAATGAAGTCCGAAAAAATTAAATATTTATAGAAAAAAAAAGTTGTGGTTTAAATCAATGGATTTAAACTGCACTTCTGAATTTTAAAAGTATTTTAGAATAAAATTAAATAATTTAAATTCCATAAACTTTTTATGGATTTTATGAATAATAATATTTAAAATTAACAAAGTTTATGCGATCAATTGTGTATGTTTGATGCTTACTTACTCCTTCCAATTATTTTCGATTGTGATGGCTTGCTATTCCTCTATATTTTTAAAGTTATCCTTGTGATTTCCAATGTATTTTTGTTCGATATTAGTGAATTTTATAGTAACCACTTAAAAAATGAACCGTCCAACAAATTAAATATTTTAATATGATAAAGAAATAAATTGTGTTTAAATAAGGTATTTAAACTGCACTTCTGTAATTTTTAACAAAGTATTGTTGACCGTGATATAACCATTTACAATAATTTAAATTCTCCACCTAGAAACTTTTTAAGGAGATTTTATGAAAATATTGTAATTTATTGAAATATGAAATGACTAGATATGAATTTGAGTTTTAATATACCTGCCTAATTGGATAAAGTATAATATAGTTATAATATGCATAGTGGATATATAGGAGGGAATTTGATACGTAGATTTTTTGACCAGAGTAATAGGACTATATACAGAGACATTGACTTGTTATGTCCAATAGTTTATTTATATAGTTCTTCACTCCAGAATATATAATGAGTAGCCTATATATATATATCCTGTTTTATAATATATATGAATGTATATATGTTATGATTTTTTTTTCTATGATTTGATTGGACTCACTAGTTAACTGAAACTAATTTCTTTAAATATAAATTTAACATATATGAAATGTTATTAAGATATATTTAATGAAAACTAATTTTTTAAATAAATACATATAGAAAATTAAACATTTTTTAAAAGTTTAACTTTAAAATTTATTTTTAAAATATTTACTTTTATTATTCGATTGTAATCTAAAAAGATTTTATTTTAGGAGAGGGATAAAAAATATTTTTATTTTAATATTATGGAAAAATAATGAGATTTTTAATAATAATGAGATTTTCAATAATAAATTTAATGATATTTAAAATATCCTAAAGTATCCTTAGTCATGCCAATTAAAAATTTTTCACTTGAAAATATATATAATTTTTCTTTGATTTGATTGGATATATTTTATTAAAACTAATTTTTCAAACGAATCCATGTAGATAATCAAGCCTTCTAAAATTTGAAAATTTTAACTTTTTAAATATTTAATTTTTTATTTGATTGTGATTTAAAAATATATTATTTTAGGAGAGGAAGGAGAGGAATAAAAAAAGAAAAATTATATTATTCTATTTTAATATTATTTTATTTTTATGTTTGTATAATTAATTTGATTGGATATTTCCTTATTGATTGGCTTTAGTCAATTTTTTTATACATTAAAATCAAATTGAATTAAATCATGGCTTTTCCAATTGAAGAAGGGAATGATCTTTAAAGTTTAAATTGGTAATTTTTTAAAAGTAATTTGGTTCTTATTATATGTTGAGTTCAGAAGAATTTTATCCTTAATAATAATATTTTATTTTTCATTAATGAACACATTTATAATTACTGTCACTTTCATTTAGTAAGATATTTATATCTCCTTTGTAATAAATAGATGACTTCTTGATGATTAAGTATTTTTTAATTTTCTTGATATTTTTTCTCTTACAACCTAAATCTGTTTGTGTCACGACCCGATTCCATGGGCCGGACCGGCACTAGGGCCCAGGTAAGCTTAAGGCCCCCGAGGCCCGTAGTAAGCCTGAAACACTAAAATTAGAGGGTAAGGCCTGAAACACTAAAACTGGGAAGCTATTCTCAATAGTGAGTAAAGTTTTAAATATCGGGGCCTCATATTGGCACAATAAAAATAAACCTTAAAGATTTTTTTATACAATCTCGGCCCAAACTATCTTCTACAAATTCCACAGTTCGGGCAATTATCAATATCATCTACATATCTATAATTGGGCTTCATCACAATTCATCATTCGTCTACGATAATACACGACTAAATGTAAGTTAAATACTTCTACGATAGCTAGGACGGAATATTTGGCCTCCACTTACTCAAGATAATTACCGATTATGATTTTATACATCTATGGATAGCACTAAGCAAAATAGAGTTATTGTCTATTGGAAAATGGTTTCTAGAGCGTCTGGCGACGAAAGAACATAAAGCTATACCGAATTAAAGAGAAACTTTATTTCCCTGAAAAATAAACATATGTTGAGCTTTCTAAGGAGTAATTATTATGCACAACACAGACAATTCAAACAAATGTATAAATATAATATATCAACTAGTCATCCGACTAGTTATATGCTCACACAGCAGTCACACAAATGGCATTGTCACCAGCACTCACAAACAATATCACCATTCTAACATCTTCATATAATCACATCACGTGGAAATTAGTCAGTGGCGCCACCTGAAACCCCAACGAGCCGTCCTTACACATGGCTCGCCCTCTCATACATGTGCACCAGGGAGCTGATCCCCCATACGGCCAACTGGTCCAATCCTCACTGACCAGTCCTCTCATTATTTTTCCATTCTCTCTTTTCTTTTCCATACCGACAAGAGGCAACCCAGTGGTCTCCATCTAATCTAGATCATCAAGTGCTCATAACAGGAGGCCACCATGCGGGCTACAATCAAATCTAGATTATCAGGTGCGGAACAACAAGAAGCCATCCTGTGAATTTCCATATAATCTATATCATCAGGTGCACAAAGGGGCGCCGATCTCCCATTTTCTCGGCCGATGGTCAAATATCATATCATAATCAGGATCCATATCACAGACCGTCCTCACAAACCCATGGGGGTCCACTTCATCCCAATTCCATACAAACAAAGCATAGCATTTTCACAACACAATTAATCATTTTCAACAACACAATTAATCAAACATTGCAATCAAATTGCTGACTATTATTAGAAATCAGGTTGAAAACATCGTAAATGTAAATGCACAATGTAGATACATCCATCTCTAATGCCTTCTTAATAGAGATAAATAATTAACAATGGAACAACGTAATGATGTAAAGTAGATAAATGTAAATAAATAGAATTAATTGAATAATTCGATGATAATAAAATGAAAATAATTAACATTTAGTTAGGCAGCTTCTATTTAATAATTATGTACCAAATTATAGAACTAATCTAAATAAACTTATTAATTATGTTGTTAATTAAAATTAGTCTAAGTTCTATCAAAATTTCGACAGCACCTCCCTTAAAAATTGGACTATCTACCTGTTAAGATAATGTCAATACTCTCCCTGTATTCATTCAATCCACAAACCCATCCATCGGGCAATCAATCAACTCAAATGCCCATCCTCCTTTACATAGCAATACCAATAATTAACGATTATTATTTGCTACTCTTTGCTCAACAACTCACTTTCAAAAAACTTGAACTCATTATTTGCCAAATCTATACCTAAGAAAAGTTTAAGCTCATAATTTAATATATTATCAAAATCTTTAGCTAGACATCATATCTTTGTTCCTTTGTTCCCATCAACATTAAAACCATCAAACTTTACAATCTTAAATTATCTCTAAGCAATATTACAATTAGAGAGCTGAATAATTTTCGGCAATATCATTTAATAACGATTCTAGATATTTCTTAATTTATTTAATTACAGAAATAGTTTAGCTAAACTATTAGTTCTACAGCTGCTGCCTAGGACTCGATGATAATACCTTTCAAGTTTCCACTGTACACTATGATTTTTTTATACACTACTATCTTTTCTATTCTTTAAATTATAGAATTAAAATTCATGCATACTTTAATTTCCATCCAAATTCTATTAAACAAAAATTATAGAAACCTTTATAATGGACTAACATAAAAAAAATTAAGGTTCTTACTCAATCTCCCTCAAGTTCTATAAACTAAAGTCCTTTCATTTATATATATATAAAAAAAATATATAATATAATTAATAGGCTTGGATTGGAAGCTTTTAACTGCTGTCATTCTTCGATGCATCATATGCTACTTAACCCATTTTCCCCATCCAAGGAACCTTATATATAACTTCCTTTTGCAATTTTGCATTATACCGCAATAATTGTTCAAGCTAATTAATTAAAAAGGCATGCTGCAATTTCAGGTTTCTCAATTCTTTCGCCATTTCATTTTATAGTTCCACTTAAATGGTACAATCAAGGTTTCTATCATAACATACCAAGAATTCAACCAACGACCAATAATACCTACAATAACGAATAATCATTTCCTTACAAAAACTCATAATAGATTCAATAATCTAACTATTTTGTATGTAAATTCAATTTATAGCTTCCATTTATATTTTTATTTATCAAAATTTCTTAGTTAATCATCATAACAGTAGCTAAGAAATTCTATTTTTATATCACTTCTTTTTATATCATTTCTCTATTTTCAGGATCAAAATTCAATGAAAATGTATTGGAAAAGGGTTTTGAAAATAACTTACTCTATAAACTTGCCGGAAATCAAAAGGGAAGAGCAGATAGCGCTTTCCAGATGCGCAAACCATGAAATCGCAGCTCCGCTAGCCTTGCTGTGTCAGCCGGAACGGGAAAGAGGAAGGGAGCAAAATAGGGAGACCCAGCTTCGTCGTCGAAAAGATTGAGAAGGCTGGTGGTCCGGCCGGAAAATCAAGACAGGAGGCTCACGCGACTTTCCGATCGAAGAATGGTCGTGCGGCTCACCTGCCGCCTTCCTGCTGTACGTCCAGAAACGAAAGAAAGAGGAGAAGGGTTTTTGCCGGAAGTCCGCTGCGGTTGGAGAGGCTAACTAGAAAATCGGCTCCGGTGGCTGGAATGGAGGGGAAAGGAAGGAAGGAGGGGTTCGCGCGCCGGTTACCTGGCGGCCAAGGAAGGAGAAAGAAGAAAAAAAGGAGAAAAAGAAAAAAAAAAAAAAAAGAAAAGAAAAAAGATAAGGAAAAAGAGAAAGATGCGTGGAAGCTTCTTAAGTACCCATTCCGGTTTCGATTCGAAACCGGTTTGGTCCTAATTCAATGGTTCCGGCTCGATTTGGCTTTGGTTTTCCTCAATTCCGAAATTTGAATTTAATTTGGGATTCTTTTGTTAGTCAGTAGAACTTTTCCTCCAATTTACTAAAAATAATTAAAGATACTAATCAGTATTTTTATTATAATTTAATCTTATATAGTAATTACACAACAATATAACATATATATTTTTAATAACTTAATATTAAATGCTCCCCTTAAAGTTACTCGGTTTTTTTTTTTTTTTTTTTTTTTTTAAAAAATTTCTAAAGGTTCCTCTCACTCGACAAATTAATTTTAATAATATGGATTTGGCTTGGAGCCCCTGTCCGTAAACTTGGGCCGAATTAGAATTAAAACAGTAATTTGTAGTCCCAGAACAAGTTCGAAAATTCAGATTTTTTGTTTTAAATAAAAATTCATTAAACAGTATTTGTAGTCCAGACAGTCGAAAATTCAGATTTTTGTTTTAATAAAAATTCAAAAGTTTCGAAAATAAAAATTAAGGGTGTTTCAGTTTGATTTGAAGGGAATTTTATTTTGAAAACTGGAAAAAAATTAAGACTATATATTTCTATTTTGAATGGGGTTTTAAGAATCTGTATATGCACATATACTTATTTTTTTAATACACCAAGTAAATAATGCTGTCACTACAGCCAAGGGATAGATGTAGAAAATCAAATTAGTGGGGCAATGAATAAAAATAATACTTTAGGGGGCCAAAATGTAAAAATTCAATGGAATAAATACCAATTAACATAATTATATATACTAAAATATAAAAAATTATAAATTAAACTGTAAAAAATGAGTAGGGCAAGTGCCCCCATTGCCCCATTGTATCCACCCCTGACTATAGCCAACTGTTCGAAAAAAAAAAAACTCTCACCTAAGCAATGGAAAAAGACATTTACCCTTTGATAGGGTTTAGTTCATGCCCTAATGATTGCTACTATCATCATGGTTCATGTTTTTTTAAACAAATTCAAATCAACTTTTCATTTCTTTTCTCTTGCCTAACACTAAGAATATATAGATATTAAATAAAATAATTTTTATTTTTTACTTTATTATAAATATATACAGATATTAATTTGAGGTTGGGCGACATAGATTGGGAATTGAGTGATGATTGATTTTCTTTTTGAACATCTATTACGATTTCAAATATATGCATGTACAAATTAGAGGCTGAAGGATTAGGTCTAGAGGTTGAATTGAATTTTATTTGAGATCACTTCATTATAGAAAAATAAAAGTAAGTACATAAAAATAGCATTACAAGTAATTTTTAGATAAAGTGCAATGTAAATCAACCTCTGTATTTATTTTAATCTAAATAAGAATTTATACTTTAATATAAGATCTTGTGGAACATGATTTGATTCTGTAAGCGGTTCAGTATGAATGAAAAAATTTCGAACAAAATATATAAATAAAAAAATTAAAAATTAAACGAGCATAAAGAATGATTATAGTCAACATGCAACACACGTCAGTATATCTATAATATATATAAAAATACGAATGAGGGGAGCATTGCATTCCTAAAATGCCTCTACGGACTTTTGATTTTATTAGTTGATTAAAAATATCATTAAAGATAATTTAGTCATATTCTAATTAGACTAATTTTAATTTTATTAGTATTGTATTGATTGATTAAAAATATCATTAAAGATAATTTAGTCCTATTCTAATTAGAAAATTTTTAATTTCATTAATATTTTATTGGTGGATTAAAATGAAGTATTTAAGATAATTAAGTCCTATTCCTAAAATTGAAATTTTTTAATTTCATTAATATTTTATTGGTGGAATTTAAAATGGAAGAATTTAAAAATATATAGTTGGGAAAATAATTATTTTAATTAATATCTAAATTAGTATAATATCATTGATCAACCGTGGTATTATTAGTCTCTATATTAGGTTTGGAGAAATAGTTAATTTAGTCCTTACATTCAAAATATTTGGAGGATTTATAATATTATTATTAGTTGGAGATTAGGTTATTATTATTATAGTTGGAATAAATAAAATAATGGAAATAAATTTAAAAAATAATATACTAATTATCAATTATTATTTTATGTAATTAATATTTATATAATTTAAATTCCAATTCCTAATTAAAAGAAAATTTGGTGGCTATCATCCACTTATATATAATAAATTTGTTTTTTAATTGTTTTTGGACCTAATCAAGAATTATTACAAACAAATTTTTTGTTTAAATTTAGAATATATGGATTTAAACAATCATTATTCTTTTTGCGGTATATAATAAATATTAATTGGTTCCCTCTACTTGGTTAAATTAATAAAATATTTTTTTTTTATATTCTTAAATTAATAATAATTTTTTTCAAGCCGCTCTTATTTATTTAGAATTTAATTTGGATTAAGCTGCCAGATAACATACAAATAGATATATTCATAAAATTTTATTTTGAAATCACTTATTAAATCAGAACCTCGTTTCCATGACCGGACCCCCAGACCTATTAGAATCCTCCGTCGGCTTAAGGCCTCCCGAGGCCGGTTAGTTAAGCCCTATCTTAGTTATCCATAATCCTATTATAAAATTTAATTGTGGCTTCAGGCCCAATAATTTATTTTCACAAAACAATATCCAATAAGTACAAATTCTAATAATATTAAATATAAATGTACTCCTATTCATTTACACCCATTTGGAATTACAAGTTTGCGAACTCCCAAGTTATTGTCCCTTTTTCAAATTTTAAACTAAATGTCCACTAAGAACCTAATTACATCCCCCTTTCCTATATTTAATAATTTCCCGACTTCAGTTGGATTCCGTAGGACTTTTCCTTTTCTTTCCCCTTATACTTGAGAAAAAAATAGCGACAAGGGTGAAGCGTCAAACTCAATGAGTAAGGGTTAAAAGAATAACCCTCCTCACCCACACAATCAACACACGAAATGCCTAAAAATAATTCAAAAAATTAATCATTCGACTTAAGTTATATGAATATGCAATTTGTCACAACAAAATGCCAATACAACAACCAACACAATTATTATCATCTTCATCATAAATCACAATTATTATCAATCTTTCATATAATCACATCATGAAGAAATAGTAGTGGCGTCACCGAAACCCCCGATTGAGCCTTTCTCCCACATGGCCCAGTAACTCTCATAATGTGTGCACCAAGGAAAGGCCCAATCCCCCATACATGGGCCCGAACCGGTTTTAATCCCTCACTTGGCCCAGCTCTCTCATTGTTTTTCCAAATCATTGTTTTTCCATTCTCTCTTTTCTTTTCCATACCAACAGGAGGCCACCCTGTGATTTTCCATATCATCCATATCATATCATCAGATGCACACAGAGGCCCGATCTCCTCATACCTGGCCGACGGTCAAATTCCATATTTTCAATATTTCCAGGACCGTCCTCACAAACCCATGGTGACCCACTTTATCACAACTCCACACAAACAAAGCATAGTAATATCACAACACAGTTAATCAAACAATTTTTAATCGCAACAAATATTGCAGCACAATATAGCAATTCAGCAAGTAATTAATCAAACAATTTTTAATCGCAACAAATATTGCAGCACAATATAGCAATTCAGCAAGTAATGCATGATAACATTTAGCCGTGAATGCATGAATGTAAAAATACACGTGGATGATGCGAATTATCTAACACTACTCACAGTTCTTTATTGTCCTTTAAATGGACTATCTTTATTACTACACGCTCAGCTTTTGTCTTCACATTTCGGAACTTTATAAACATCTAAAATAAAAAGAAAATTCTAAATAAGAGTTCTAATTCGAGAAACATATTTCACATTCATTATTAGTTTTGGTTACTAGTCGCTTAAGTAACTTATCAAACTAAACTCTCTCTCTCTCTCTCTATATATATATATAGTGTTCTTTTATTTATGTATTTATTCGGTAAGTGATATTTTATAATGATACTAATAATAATAATCTAAAATAAATAATCATAATTATAATAAACTAAATTTTTAGTCCGTTATTAACCACTATTATAGGATGCAACTAAATTTAGCTCTCTCTCTCTCTCTATATATATATATAGTGTTCTTTTATTTATGTATTTATTCGGTAAGTGATATTTTATAATGATACTAATAATAATAATCATAATAATAATACTAAAAGTTTTAGTCGTTACCACCTATTAAGGATGCAACTAATTTAGTTCTTTGTTTTGCCGAAAATTCGACAGCATTTCCTCTATAAATTGGGCTATCCAATTTTACATATTTCACATATCGACACAGAGCCTATCCATTGGGCACATTCTCAATCAATTCAAGCACCTTTTCTCCTTTTAACATCAACACTATCACCCAACTTTGTTAACCCTAAATTCACAAATATAGTAACTTTCAACCTGATCCAAAAATATTCATATAAAATTATTTATTAAATTATTTATTAAATCATAAGCTAACCAAATTAATAGCTTTATGGTAATTAATTTGTTAAGCGGTTAAAACTCGTTTTTAACAACAACTAATTATAACTTCTATTTATTAGGTTCGACCATCTAATTATCAAACTAACTAATTCCAATTCATCCTTCACGTTTTGGTTTATGACAATTATTCCAAATGACTTTAAGTTCTAGATTTTCAACATTAAGTGTATTTAATTAGGTCGAATAGTGATTTTTAATTACAAACTCAACCTAATATAATCACAATTTCTAGCAATTGAATCCTAAATTCAAATTCTCCTGAAAATCCTCCAATTAGGTTCACAAACTCCGAACCTAATATTTCAAAGTCCTTTGATTAAATATCTATTTGAATTAAGTAAATTAATCAATAAATTTTAAATTTGGAATTTATATCAGGAATTAGGAACGGGGTCTTAGAGTGTATCAATCGAAAATCGGACTCCAATTCCATGATCCACGCGAAGAGAAGGTCGTTCTGCCTCTTGAAGCCTCGCCAGCCAGTCATCGGACCGCCGCCACAGCGCACGGTGGCCGATAAATCGTATCTCGCCAGAATTCCACGAGACTTGCACCACTTTTTTCGAAATTTTATGGGAAACTCGAATAATGCGTCCATTTGTCGAGTCATTGGCCCATTTGGCCGGAGAGAGCCTCGACGGCCAGCAAAGAAGCCACCGATCATGGTGGTTCCACCATTCTCTGTTGGAAACACGGTTTAACAGAGGGAAAATGTTTGCGTGGCCACTAGGAAGCGATTTCGCGCGTTCTCAGTGTGCACAATGGTCGGAAACGATGGATTTTTGCCTGAGATCGAAGAGCCGGAGCTGTTGAAGAAGATGGCTCCGATTTGCGTCGCTGGAGGTCCGATCGGAACGAGGGAAGGCTGGAATCGTATCCAGCATCGCCAAAGGGACCACTTGCCACCTCGTTCTCGCTGAACGGTGGCCGGAAACGGGAAGGGAGAGGGGATCGCGCGCCTGCCCTCGCTGGAGAAGAAGAAGAAGAGAAAAGAAAAAGAAAGAAATGACGGTTATAGAGAACTCTGGGCCATTCCGGTTCGATTCGAACTGGTTTGGTTCAGATAAATGATTTGGCCCGTTTGCTTGGTTTACGGGATTTTCATTCGGTTTTCGAAAAATCAAATTGATTTACGGGTCTGGTTGATTTATTCTATTTATTTTAATATTTAACGTCTAATATAATTCTTAAAAAGTTTAGAAAATTCTCGTTCAACTATACTTTGGGCTTAAGCCAACTTGCGAATTAGACACGGACTGAGATTGTACAGTACCAGCAGCCTACACATCAAAAATTCCAATTTTTAATTTAATAAAAATTCTAAAAGTTTCGAAAATAAAAATTCAGGGTGTTTCAGTTATATACATATAAATATATTTTTTATTGTTTGTATTTGTATGAATTAAATAAAAATATTTTTTTTATGTTTATGGGACATTTACTGTAAAAAAACTAATAAAACCAATCTCTCATGATATATTCATCTATTGTTTGTATTTGTACAAATATATAAATATTTTTCTTTATGTTTATGGATATTTTCTGTAATAAATCAACCAATAAAACCAATCCCTCGTGACGTTTTTTAAAGAAAATATAAAATTCAAATTTCAGTGCCAAGAAAAGAGAAAAAGAAGTTTAACCATAATGTTATCTCTAAAAATAATTGCAATCATAAATTAAAATAAAGAGATTAAATTCTAATTTCTTAATGCTTCTTGCTGTATTTTACTTTTATTTAAAATAAAGAGATTTGGTTGCATTTCATTGACTATTCCAATCCAAGACTCCTCGCTCTAGCATTCTCTTTCTAAATTACGGAGGTATCAATTTTTTTCTCTTAATCTACTAATTAAAATTTTCATGGTTTTTTTTTTTAAATTAGTACACGTAATTATATATTTATCAATGAATAATAAATATTATGGGCCACAAACATAGTATTAAAATTAGAAAAAAAAAGAGTAATATATTGGTTGAAAAATATAAGTAGTTTAATTTTGATTGATTATGTTAATTTCTTATTTGAATATAAATTCTATTAAGAAGTTTAATTTAATTCTAAATAGGAAATTGTTCAATTTACCCCTATTCTAATTAAGCAGGTCTATATATATTATAAATTCCTATTTAAGAAGTTACAATTAATTCTAAATAGGAAATTGGTTCAATTACCCCTATTCTTTTAAGCAGGTCTATATATGATATATATATATAATATAAATAATATATATATATATATATAATAATATATATCCTTAGGTTTTTCCAATTAATATAGAAATTAATATAATTTCATTATATAAAAAAGTAATAGAAAAAAATTATATTATATAAAAAGTTAATAGAAAATTATATATTATATTATTATTATTATTATAAAATGTATATTGGATCCTAATACGATTTTATATTTAGAAATATTCAATTTAAATTTTAAATTTTAATATATATTTATTTTTATAAATTGAATTCGTAATATAGTAAAATTAACTAGGGATAAATCTATTCATATTCTTTATTAATAAAATTAAAATTAAATTTTAAAAATACAAAATTTGTACGCTTATTTAAAACTCATATTAGGAAATAATAACAAGTAATAATAGTCAATTTATTTGACATATTTATTGCTATTAGTTTTTATAGTTTTTATTTTCGAGTAGGAATTTTTTAGAAATTTTTATTTAAATCAAGAATTTTAATTATTACAAAACTTCTCAATTAGCAACCACAAATTAATTGAAATTAATAATTTATTTTACAAGGATATAGATTATAATTTTAATATTTATTCACTAAGATATCTTAAAATTAATTAAGAAAGTTTTTATTGTTATTTAAATTAGAATTAATTTTAATCTATAATAATAGTGGTATATATAAAAGTAGGAATCGAAAAAGCGAAATGTTGGTATTAACTAAGATACTCTTATTAAATTTAGATAGAGATGACAAAAATATTTTTAAAAATTTTAATTTTATTATTTGAAAATTATATGAAATGCATATAAACATATAATTTTTATTAATTATTATAACTGAATTCTTTTCTCTCTCTTTCCTGGCAATTACAGTTTGTGAAGAGACTTCAATTAATAAAAACTCTTTCTTTATCATTTTTGTGATATTAATAAAAACTGGGCAATTACAGTTTCCCCAGAACTTAACGCCAACCTGTAGGAACTTTTATACGCACCTTTTGTTCTCTTCTTTTCCTGAGGAGGACGACGAATTCCATTGAACCCTAATCCAGGGTTTCCTCTCTAATTTAGAATTGGAATAGTGCAATAGCAACTCTATTTGCTTCCTTTCTCTTTTCATTTCACTCTCAATTTATTTACAATACAAATCAATGGGCCATATATTTTTAGTCATCTTAGCAACAACGTTCTGTTTACTTTTGGCTTTCTACCTTATCGTCGCCTGCTGTCAACTTCAGTCTCCAGGCGGAAGCAGCTCCAGTCCGGCCACTGTCAGTGCCGCTTAACAACGACAATTCGTACCGGGAGCTGTCGCTGTTATACCAGGGCGGGAAGGTTGTTGTTGTATTTGGCTTGAGGAATACAAAGAGGGAGATAAGTGTAAGATTCTGGGTAAGTGCAAGCATTTATTTCATGATTCTTGTATCGATGAATGGCTTCAAGGGTCGAAATTGTCCTGTTTGTCGAGATTCTGTTCTTGGCGTACCTGTTACTGTTAGTATTGATAATTTGAATCACCTGGTATAACACAAACTGGGCAGTAGATGATGGCGTTTGTATATAAATTCAATTCTGGGATTTATGCTTTTATATATATATACTTGGCCGTACCTGTTACTGTTAGTATTTGATTAATTTTGAATCACCTGGTAAATACAAAACTGGGCAGTAAAAGAATGATGGGTTTGGGGTAAATAAAAAATCAAATTCTGGGATTTAAAATGCCCTTTTAATAATATATATTATATATATAAAATATACTATAAGAGTATTAATTGGAATAACTCAAAGTTAAACAGTAGTTTGGTTATTTTTATTTTTTTTACTTTATTATTAAGAATTTTGAAAATTTTTTTTTTTAATTTTAATGTTTAAATTATGAATTTTTTTATTTAATTGAATTAACTCAAATTAAACAGTAGTTTTTTAGTTTTTTTTTTTACTTTATTATAGATTTGATTTTTTTTTTTATTTTAATGTTTATATTATGATTTTTGCATTCATCCATGAAGCATGAACAACACATGACGAGGAAACCACAGCCAAAATTATACTATTTGGTCATTGGATTATGATTCTATTACAGTTTCAGATTCAATATTTAGTTTTTCCATTAAGCGATTATGAAATATCATCAGATTTTGAAATCTAATCTAATTTAACAACTATTTTATTTTATATCTATTTTTCATATTTTAAAAATTAAAAAAGTCTCGGACCTTTTCCTTTTAAAGGCGCCGGATCTCCTTTTGCTTTTCCTTTCTTGTGGAGGTGCTATGCAAAGAAATAAAACTGGCTGTGAAAATGACATTATTTGAGAGAGCCTAGCGTATCCTTCAAAATTTTTCACATGAAAACATATATAATTTTTCTTTGATTTGATTGGATATATTTTAATAAAACTAATTTTTCAAACGAATCTATGCAGATAATCAAGCCTTCTAAAATTTGAAAGTTTTAACTTTTTTAATATTTAATTTATTATTTGATTGTGATTTTGAAGCATCTTGAATTTTTATTTTCAAAACTTTTAAATTTTTATTAAATCAAAAATTCAGAAATTTTGACTGTGCGGGCTGCAAGTATAGCACAGTCTCAATTCGAGTCCAAATTTGCGATTTAGGCCCAAACCCAAAAATATATTATCGAAAATTTCGATTTGAGAACACTTAAAATAAGATCTCATATTTTAAATTTCAAAAATTACACGTTGCATTTAATTTCTTTTCAATTTCTGTTTCTTTTTAAATTAAAGATTAGGTAGTATTACGAGTAAGCTTTTATACACAATATTAAACCCATTTCATTACCTCAGTGAAAGGCAATTCATTCATATTTGATTAGAAAAATCATAAATAAAACAAAATTCTTATTTATAATCTGATTCTAAATATTGAATCCTTATTGAACAAAAGAATAAAAAAAAAAAGAGTAAATCTACCATTTTAAGATCATGTAACACTAAAATTTCAATATGCTATGCAGGAAATAAACTTTTACACATTAACTTCCAAAAGACTATATAAATTTTGGCTGAATGCCGACTGTATTTGAATTCAAGGACAAGCAAATAGGGCTGTCCATGCTGTTATAAGAATGACTTATTTTGAGTGTTGGTCTTCAGGTTTGGAATTCCCCTCCAAAATTAGATTTCATGTATGATTGTTGTTGAGCCTTTACTGTTTTAATAAAAGTATTCCTCTCTGGTCAAAGGAAAAATGTTGAATATGTACTTTTCTATCCGAAGGTCTTTGCTTGAATGCTTCGTCTCAGTATTTTTAATAAATAATTATTTTATCAGTTGTAAGTTGTTGTAAATGCGTTTTATAGTTTGTAATAATTTATAATTTGTATTAAAAAATTATTTAAATTGCAGAACTGTAAAATATATCTTTATACCATAGCATGTATATAGAGAAAAAAAAAAAAAGAGAGCTTTTGAGGGCTTGTACTACTCATGGTTCTGATGATCAGACTGAATCCATCGGTTCGATAGGTTTAACTACGAATCGGACTATAGTTCGGTCCGAGTTAATATTTAATAGTTTTCTTAGAGAATTAATATTAAATTAAGAGTAATATAGTTAATTTATTCAATAATTTATTTTTTCTTAAGAGAATAATATTAAATGAAAGTAATATGTAATTTATTCAATAATTATTATAAATATATTTAAATTAATTACCATTTAATAGTTTTCTTAGAGAATTAATATTAAATTAAGAGTAATATAGTTAATTTATTCAATAATTTATTATAAATATATATAAATTAATTATCCTAAAATCAAATATCATTATTATTATTATTTTTATTATTATTTAGTAAAATAAGGAAATGTTCTAAAACCTAATTAAAATAATTAAAATAAATCAAATCGGACCCAAAAATTTATTTGATTTTTTTGAAAACCACACGAAAAACACGAAAACCAAGCAAATTGAGCCAAATTATTGAATTAAACCAAACCGTTCGAATCGAACCGGAATGGTCTAGAAGCTCAAGATTGTTCCTTCCTCCCTTTTTCTTTTCTTCTCCTTCTTCATCCTCCATCACGTGACAGCCTCATCTTCTCCCGATGCACTGCGTTTCCGGCCACTGCACGACGAGCACGAGGTGGCGGACGATTCACCTTGTGCCACTGACTAAGTTTCCAGCCTCCTCTCACGCGAACGGAGCTCCAGCGGCGCGATCGGACCTGTTTCCGCAAACCGCACCCTGCTCTTCGATTTTCCGGCGAAATCTCGTCGTTCAGTGGATATCAGGTGTCGGGAAGGGACCCAATCGACCCCTAGTCACCTCCAGAATTTCCCCTCTGTTAATTTTGAAGATGGAGCCCGTGAAGTGGAAGTGCCATTGAAGATGGCGGTGAAGCGGCTGTCGAACCGCTTTGTCCAATTAGAGGGCTGATCTCACTAAACTAGCACCGGAAACGGAATCCTTGGTGAATTTTGAGTCGAAAGGTATGATCGTTGCAAATTTATGGGTAGTTTTGCTTTTCCGGCTACTGTGTACGGCAGCTAAAGCGGCGGTCCGGTGACCGGCCGGTGACACTCTGGCGAGATCCCAAGAGGCAGAAACATCTCCTCTTTGTGCTGATCGTGTAACCGTAGTCCGATTTTCAAACGGTACATTCTAAGACCTAGTTCTCATTTATGGTATAAGTTCCAAATTTTTAAGTTATTGGTAGATTAAGTTAATAGTTAATTAAAGGACTGGAAATGTTGGATTCATAGTGTGGTTTTCGATTGTACAATTAGAACTGCTTAGCCACTTAATTCTTTGCATGAGAAAACATAGCTAATAGATTAGAGAAGTTAATTGAATACGATTCCTGGTAAGGAACTTCGATAGATAGACTCGTTTGACTTCTGAAAATTAAGAAAATAAGTCATTTAGAATATTGTAACCTTTAACCTAGTTAGTTGAATATTAAAGTAGATATAATTAAATAACAAGAACTAAAATTATTGAAATAGCAAATAGCGTGATCGTAGAAAGACTTCGTTAATTGATTAGATAACTGTTAATTTAGTTTAACTAGGACTGATTACTTGGTATATATGAAAAGATAAATAAAGTTCTCTACTTATATTATTATTATCATTATTATTCATTTATATATTTAATTATTTATTTATTTTCATAATTATTGTTTATTATTGTTATTATTTATTTTATCATTGTTGTTTATTGTTAATACTATTTATTTATTTACCTATTTGCATTTGAATATAGATGTCTAATTGTGCATTGCATAGCGATATTTAATTGATTAATATGTCCGCATTTAATTGTAATGTTTGATTAGTTGTGATGTGACAATATTATGTCCTGTTTGTGTGGAATTGGGATGAAGTGGGTCACTATGGGTTTGTGAGGACGGTCTATGAGATATGGATCCTAAATATAATGAAATTATGGAATTGTAGAATTTGACCGTCGGCCGTGTAAATAGGAGATCGACGCCTCCATGTGCACCTGATGATATGGACTATATAGAAATCACAGGGTGGCCTCTTGTCGTGTGCGCCTGATGATCTGGATTTTATGGAAGCCCACAGGGTGGCCTCCTGTTGTGTGCGCTGATGATCTAGATTTGACGGAGACCACCGGGTTGCCTCCTGTTGGTATGGATAAGAAAAGAGAGAATGGAAAAACAATGAGAGGACTGGTCATGTGAGAATTAGACCGGTCGGCCAGGTATAGGGGATTGGCTTCTTAGTGCATACGTTTGAGAGGAAGGGTCATGTAAGAATACGGCTCGTCGGGGGTTTAGGTGTGCCACTAACTAATTTCCACGTGATTTGATTATGTGAAGATATTAATAATTGTGAGTGCTGGTGATATGCCATTTGTGTGACTGGCTGCGTGAGCATATAACTAGTTGGATGACTAGAAAAGTCATGTAAAGAAATAATAACGGCTCGTCGGGTTTTTAGGTGTGGCCACTTAACTAATTTTCCAACGTGATTTGAATTCATGTGGAGATATTAAATTGGTGAAGTGCTGGTGAATATGCATTTGTGTGACTGGCTTGCGTGAGCCATAAACTAAGTTTGGAAATTGGAACTAGATGATATGTTGAGTGTTTTATGCAAATAATTATTAACTACCTTAGAAAACTCACGGTGTTCCCCTTTGTATGTGAAGATATTAATAATTGTGAGTGCTGGTGATATGCCATTTGTGTGACTGGCTGCGTGAGCATATAACTAGTTGGATGACTAGATTGATATGTTGAGTGTGTTATGCAATAATTATTACTCCTTAGAAAACTCACGTGTCTTGTTTGACTTTTCAGGAAGTAATTTTCTCTTTAATTCGATTTAAACTCGGTTTCTTCGCCGTAGGACTAGAAAGAAATTTTCCTAATTTAATAATTATTTTACTTTGTAACTATGTTTATAAGAATCCATGTATATCTATCAGTTATAGAATTTACATACACTTACTCGTGTATTAATATAGGCGAAATAATTCATTGTGCCCATATTAGAAATGTAATGTATTGCAAATTGGGCTCGAACTGTGGAATGTTGAAGATGTTAAATTTGGGCCGAGGTATAATATAATCTTGAGATTTATTTTGCATAGTAATAAGGGCTGAATGTTTGAAATTTATATTAAAATAGTAGATTTTAGTGTTTTAGGCTTACTACGGGTCTCGGGGGCTTAAGCTTACTTGGGACCTAATGTCGGTTCGGCCAATGGAAACGGGTCGTGACAGATTTAAAAATATATTATTTTAGAAGAGGAATAAAAAAAAGAAAAATTAGATTGTTCTATTTTAATATTATTTTATTTTTATGTTTGTATAATTAATTTGATTGGATATTTCCTTATTGATTGGCTTTAGTCAATTTTTTTTATACATAAAATCAAATTGAATTAAATCATGGCTTTTCCAATTAAGA